ATGGCCAGGTTTACCCTAAGTGAAAAATTAATAGGATGTCTACTAATGAAACAAAGCTCCAAACACTACAAACTTAGAAAAAATGTTTGTCTTGCCTAACAAACAAATGTTATATAGACCAAATAATAATTTGGCATACCCTAGCGAAAAGTTCTTTATCTTATACAGGGAAGGTACTCTTTTAATTCATAACCATTTGAATTGTAGCTGTTTTAAAATTAATATAAAAAGTAACTTGTAAAGTAAGATATTACTTACACTATGATTAAATATGATTCCTGTGGTTTAATTTCTTTAATTTGCTATTTGCTTTATCTAATGAACAATAAATATTGCTCTGTTTTCGTCAAATTCTGCCTATATACAATGTTATGTACATTTTTAATATAACCCAATGTACTTTTAATTTAATCCTAAGATTACGTGTGTATGTATATGATATTGGTGTGCTTGAATAAAAAATAAATGTTTATGTACCAAAATTGTTTCATTAAGTAATATTTTAATATAACTATATAATGCGTCGTTACGTTGATATCGATAAAATAAGAACATCGCTAAATATCGATATCGATGATTTGAAGGATGTGTGCTTGCAATCCCTAAGCTATATTTTTTTTTGTTTATCACTCATCTGTCAAATTGGGCGACTGCAGCGCCAAAAGGCATAGTTGGGAAACTTGACTAAAAGTCACTGTCGTATCTGTAGCTTGCTACATATATATTTATCTATGATTCCATTTTCTCAACGACTAAACAAGTTTGACAAAACCTTGTGACAAGACCGAGAATCTTTTTTTAAATAAATAAATGGTATTCGATTTTTAAAACCAAGGAGTTTTCAATTAAAAAGATTTTAATGTGACAGGAACAGTAGAAATATTCCATTCCCGATACTTTTAGTGCAGCCTAGTAATGATATTAAGTATGTGGATATTGTTGTCCTTGGGATAATTATCATAGGTTCATATTCTAAGAAGTTTTGTAAGACAATAAAGCACAGAAGAAACCTTAGACTTACACTAGAATGAAGACAAGAACATTTCTGATTTTGATCCACATCCTTTGGTCTTTAATTTCTTACGATAAGTAGTTGAATAGGTAGTTTTTTTCATTCTTTGCTTTTACATTCCATTTAACCGAATCAGTGCGGACGGCACGCCAGGCGTGCCATCTATTGTTTTTGTGTGTGGTATATGACACGCGAGTCGTGTCTTTTTACAAATCGTTATAACTCGCTCAAATTCCGTTTTCGGAAAATTTATCCAGAAGAAAATATTCATTATTTTGCAAGTAGTTCATGCCTGCGGCTTCGTTTCTTGATATTTTGAAAATTTAAAATTTTTAGGGGTTGACAACCTTTTTTTAACTTGTACATGGTACTCTTTTTACTTTGTGGGTTTTAAATCATGATGTGGAAAAATTGTGTAATAAGTAACAAATAATAGCACTCATTGCGATCGCTCACAAACTCAAGTTGTAAATAAATTTCTGGAAAACAAGTCTCCCTTTATAAAAAAAAAACAATGCGTTTGTCTTATTGTTTAATTTTGCTTAAAGTGGTTGTTCTGCCGTCTTATTACTATCATATGGCCGAATAGACCTACGAAGTACCATGTGCTCATGTGATATGGTATAAGGTTTATTTTTGCTTGAAACAGTTCAAAACCTCTCATGCATAAAAAAAGTTCGCTAATAAAGTTTTTTTTTCCTTTGATAGCACTTATTTTGCTATTCTTACTAATTAGACGTTTCCAGATCGACTTTACTTTTACATTTGTGTAACATTAAATAATATTTAACATTTGTAAATCAATGAATCATAAACCTTTTTTCAAAATTAAGGTTCTTGATTGTTTGATATTTCCAAATATTATTATTAGGTGAAAATTTAATTTAATAAAATCCAAGGTCTCCAGGGTGATTTTGCTGTACCTATTTATATAAATGATTTTTTATAAAACAAAAAATAGTACAAAAGTTTGTATTCTCTGCATAAAAAAGTCACACTCAATTTCAAAGAAAACACGTAGAAAAGCACGTACTTACCCACTAAAAACAAGTATCCTTCAGTTTGTAACTGATATTTGATGTCAACTAAACTTAATTAGGTCTAAACAAGTCATCATTCATCATTACAGCCTTTCATAAGTCCACTGCTGAACATAGGCCTCCCCCAAGGAATGCCACAAAGCACGGTCCTGAGCCACCTGCATCCATGGACTTCCTGCATGTCTTACCAGGTCGTCACTCCATCTCGTGGGGGGTCGCCCTACACTTCGCCTACCGGTAAGAGGCTGCCACTCGAGAACCTTTCTTCCCCATCGGTTGTCGGTTCTTCGAGCTATATGACCGGCCCACTGCCACTTCAGCTTACTAATTCGTTGGGCTATGTCGGTTACTCTGGTTCTACTGCGGATATACTCATTTCTAAGTTTATCACGCAGAGAAACTCCGAGCATAGCCCTGTCCATAGCTCGCTGAGCGACTGGCAACACGCACTGGTTGTACAATTTCGTTTAAGGTTTTGAGGTATGTCTGACGAGAAGATGTGTCGTAGTTTCCCGAACGCTGCCCAGCCGAGTTGAATCCGTCGATTGACCTCTCGGTCGAAGTTGGACTTACCTAGTCGGACTATTTGTCCCAGGTAAACATACTCGTCAACAACTTCAAGCTTAGTGCTCCCAACAACTACCGGCATAGGTGTGACATGGACATTAAACATAATCTTTGTTTTGACCATGTTCATCTTAAGACCTATCCGTTGGGAGACACTATTGAGGTCATTGAGCATAGTGCTTAGGTCCTCCCGCGATTCTGCCATAAGGTCTATATCGTCGGCAAATCGAAAGTGAGTGATGTACTCGCCATTGATGTTAACACCATATCCTTTTCAGTCCAGAAGCTTGAAAACGTCTTCCAATGCGGCGGTGAAGAGTTTCGGGGATATAACATCACCCTGTCTAACACTTCTCTGCAGTTGGATAGGTTTCGTACTCTGGTTCTGTACTCGGATAGCCATCGTAGCTCTACTGTACAAATACTTCAGCACTTCGATATACCGACAGTCAACTTGGCACCGCTGAAGGGACTGCAGCACCGCCCAAATTTCGACGGAATCAAAGGCTTTCTCAGACCACATACATACCTTTCGGCAAATTGTACAGAAGTCCGAAGAGTACAATTTGCCACTATGTCTGGCGTATGTGGACTATATGGAGCTAAAGCCCTTTCGGAAACCGGCTTGTTCGGGAGGCTGGAAGTCGTCAAGTCTACGCGCGAGACGATTCGTAATGACTCTCGAAAACAGCACGTAGACGCGGCTCTGAAGGGAAATTGGTCTGTAGTTCTTCAAGAGAGCGTTGTCGCCTTTCATAAAGAACAAGACCACCGCACTTCTGCTCCACGCCTCCGGTGTAATGCCACCATGGAGGACGGAATTAAAGAGCTTCTGAAGGAGTTCAAGTACCGGTCTTCGACCCGCTTTCAGAAGCTCCGCTGTAATTCAATCCTCGCCTGGGGCCTTACCGTTTTTAAGGTGCTGGAGAGCCATTCTAATCTCGCTCAGACTGACGTCCGGGATATCTTCGGAATAGTATCGGTTGAGACTCGCTCTTGGATCGTTACTCTCTAAACAAGTGAAAAAGCATAAAAAGGAAAATTATTTTTACACATGGCTGATGGCACAATAGGCGTGTCATCAACTCCTGTGGCGTCATGAAATATTTGTTCGCCGCCACAGCTAAGTTGTCGAAAATCGGTGCCGCAATGAATCGGTTCATCTATGATAGCTGTTGAACATAGATCTCCTCCATAGGTTTTTTTATAGGGGGGATTTTGCCATAGTTGCCAAACTTTGCCAAACGCAGTTTATTATTGTTATTTTGAGTTGTTATGAAGATGCTGCTGCCTCTCCTGTTTCAGTTTCCCTCGGTCGCCTCTTAAGACAACCACTGGGACTTTTACATTATAAGGAATAAATATCCAGAAATAATGAAAACACTGCTTACAAAATAGCCCACTAAAGTGGTACAGTTTGATTTATTTCATTCTCACAAAGTCACATACATCTTGACAACAGTTTAGTTAGTTCCATAAATAAGCATTTTATTCAGTTAAATAAATGTATTAATTATGGACCCAACCAATCACAATTATTATTTTGAAGCTAACGGCTACAAGATTAAAAACAGAATCATTAGGAAGAATATTAATAGCACAGGTGGCATGTTTATTGAATCATCTAAATATAATATTAATGAAAAATTTACAACCGCGTTATTATATAAATTTAAAAGGAGTTCTTCAGATACTCTTCAAATTTATTAAGTTTATTAAATGTACTTTTGTGCACATTGCAATGAAATTGAAATAAAAATGCTGGTACTTACAGTTCTTGCTTATTGTTATTGAAACTGTAAAGGGCATTGTCACACCGTGACTAAAAGGAAATTTTAAAACATTTTTTTAAATATATTTAGTATTTGAAATTTTTAAGGATTTTGCAGAAAAGTAGAGCTTTTTTTTATAGCATAAGGGTAAGAAACGAGCACGCAGTCCACCTGATGGTAAGTGGTTGCTGCGGCCCATAGACATCTACATCTATCCTCGATTATGAATCAAAATGCAGATGCCTTGTCACCCAGTGAGGACTAAGATGGAATGCCTCATTTCCAGTAAAAAGGGTCTTCAGTTCTCTAAAAAAGTTTTGTCAAATTATTGTTTTTATTATAGTATCATTTCCATAAAAGTTTATTTATTTATTTAGATAACACTGCCCATATTAAAAATGAGCAATTGTGTTCTGTGGGCATATCTACAGAAGTCAAGAACTGTAATAGAACATAGAATTAACAATATCAAGTACCTCAAATCACTTATTTATTGCTGATGATAAGTTTTGTTTATTGTACTTATTGATGCCTTGCGAGAAGTTCGTAAAAAGAAAGTTCGTAATAGTCTTATAAATTTTGTCCGTGGGTAGATTGGAAATCAGGTTGCTAGGCAGCGGTTTCAACTTCCATGGCCTCTTCAGCACCAGCTTTCTTTTTCTTCTTTTTGTTGGATTTTGCAGAGGAGTTCAGAAGTGACTGGTTGAGAAAATAAAGAAGTTAATATAAATCAAATAAACAAAACAGTATATAAACATAATAACAATTAAGGTATTCAATTTGAAAATGTTGTAATTGTTCAAACTGAAATATTAATGTAAATAAATCAGCTCAAAAAAATCACATATGATTTACCCTGTGCTTGTTCAAAATAGACCATAATATGATCTGTTTTGAAAGATAACAGGGCTCTGTACTGATAAAAATATTTCATCAAGTTTAAATATTTTTTTTTAAATATATAGAATATACAAATATTTACATTAAGTTCAGGATCTTTGATGGAGCGATCACTCTTGCATATACTCTTGTCAAATGGCAATCCTGTTATTTTATGTGTACCACTTGGTAACAGTAGTGCTGTGAATTTAAATTGTGCTACTAATTCACCAGGACGTTCATACAGCACCTATAAAATGAAATATAAATGTAGACAATAATATTTAAAGTAATACTATGGAACTATACTAAAAATAACTAAAAAGTGTAGTGTTAACAAGAGGAAACGACAAAGAAAACCTTGTCATTTAACAGATAGTGATGTGTACTTCGATACTGGCAGGTTAAAATCTGTCTTGAAAATTTCAAATATTTGACAGATTAAGAAATATCTAAAAATTGCAAGATATTTAAATTATTATGAGGCAAGGCATTAGGCAAAAAGATCAACAATATGCCTAGAAAAAATAATAGCATTTACTTTTTTTTATTGGCACCAAATATGTTGTACAAAATTTGATAAAATAAATATAGATGTCTTTTTTCTATAATGGAAGTGTAGTATAGCTTTCAACCATACATTTAAAAACATGAAAATATAATACCTGGAAAGGTTCAATGAGCTTGTGATTCACACACTCAACTACTCCAAGCCTTGCACTTGTCTCCTTATCAAAGCTACGTAAATTGAATGGCATTGAGCCATGCTTGTTGCGAACCTGTAAAATATAATAAATTCATTATATTTATTTATTTAATACATTACATTTATTAAATAATCAACATTACGAGACAATCATAAGTTAACACAAACTTTGCCATATAAAGGTTGGACCATGGTGGTAATACCACCACGGTACAAATATGAGGGTGAGGTAAAAAACTATACTTATTATTTGTTAAGTGTGTGACATGATATTGGAGGATGTAAGGCACATGGGTCATATTGTATCGTTGTATGTGCAGGCATTTATTTTTAAAACATTATCATAATATTTATTTGTAATAAATATTATGTGTATTATACAAGTTGTTACTACTTGTATAAGTTCATTTAAATTATTTATGATGCACTTCATAGAGTAGTTTTTAAATTATAAATGTTAACTATTAATATAAAATATGTAGCTTTTTTATGCTAAGAAATAAGATTTGGCTAAACAACATGCTTACCCCATAATACACCATAATTTCAAATTCTGACATAATATCTTAATGATGTTAAATTTCCAGCATGCCCATTAATAATATTTTCATAATAATAAAAGGTTTAATAATAATACAGGTTTTGTTATATTTTTATAAGTATTTACAAATTCCAACCGGATGCGAACAATAAAAATATTCTGTGATTCAAGTAATTACAATAATTGATGAAATTTATGATTCACAAATATAATGTAAAAAATAAATATGTGGTAATGATTTATACCACTGCTCCACAAAAAAAAAACAATGGTTCAAACACATTACAGCAATTTACCCCAAATGTACCACAATATCACACTTCATGATATTGTCTAACATTCCACTTAGGGTGTAAGATATATTCAACACAAATAAATTACAATTACCTCACTGTAAAACATTCTTGACGCTTTTAATTTAAGCTGATACACTTCATCAGTTTTCTTGTATATTGTACATCTCGTATCCATTTCACGTCCCTTGAACGAAAAATAAAATAGTTTAAACATATAATTAATTCAACCATACCAAATATTTTGAAAAGAAATTAAAATACAGACTTTTTAATGTAAGTATTTATTTATAAACAGAAATGTATAGAGACATTTCAGTTAAGAGTTAACACTGTTTTGCTATTCCCTGAGTACTGCCAGAAATGTTTTATTGAACTAAGTCTGGAAAGAATTCAGGGTTGATAAGTAAAACTAGAGAACTATATTATCTTCAGGTTAGATTTGTTATGATGTACCAGGTAATTTTTTATATTCATTAGAAAAAATAGGGTGAATTAAATAAACTACTTTTACGGATTCTATCATGTTTAATTAACTTATTTTTAATTAATTGCCAATGTAGAATCCATAAAAGTAGTTTCATTAAATATGTAATGTTTGTGTAAATATAAGAAATTATTAAGTTGAAAACAAGCAGATATATTTTTTTTTAAGTTTATTATTGGTATTTTATGAAATTGATCTATTAATAAATACTACACTCATTTGAAGTAAATGTTTTACCTAGCATCAGGTTTAAAAGCAAGGGTGACAAATTCATTGATACTTGCAGTGTGTAAAGTAGGATGGACATGATTGGAATTGTTATTTTATCAAACTAAAAAGTAATTGAAAAAAAAAAATTATGTTGTAGACTTCTACTTCTTTCCTTTTTATGCCTATTTTGACACATATCATTCCTTCTTATGTAGCATGTTTCATAAGTACATTTAGAAATTATGTTAACATTTAAAAACTACCTACCACACCCTCTCCTGTAGAGACAAGCACATCCATTGCATAAACTTCATATGTTTCCAGTGTAGCTTTCTCATGCTCCTTGCGTTGGGCTTCAGAAGGATTTTGAATTATGCTCTTCTCACCGTCAATGCGGAATTGTTTCAATTGGTGTGAAAGCATGCCTTCAACTGGCTTGCATGCATATTCCGCACTAATCTTTTGTACCACATCTGTTATTGCATAGTTCTATAAACAAAACATTTTGTTCATTCAATATTATTATTATTAATAATAATATATTAATGCTATTAATATTCTTTTAATAACTGTTGTAAGTTTCCATTTATGTCAAAAAAAAAGATTTAAGACAATAAAGACATTTACATTACTATGTCCTGAGCTTGTACCAAAGTTTACAATCATCGTAAATTTGGAAAGATTCAGGATAAAATTATTTTTGTTGTAGTTATTTATTTATTAGATAATTTTTCAAGTTGTTTAAAAGAAACTATACTTTGGTATATTAAAGTATAAAAATCCATTAAATGGTGTATTTATATCAATAGCAAATTAATAGTATTTAACAGACAATTCTATATTTCTAAATATAATATAAAATATTACTGCATTTTAATAATAATAATCTTTATTTCCATATAATATGTCAGTTAACAATAATCTATTTATATACTACACAAGAATTTTTTTATCTTAAAACATGAAAAACAGCATCCATTGCCCAATTATGCTAAAACCCATATTTGAGCATATAGTGCCACCCCCACACATAATAAACATAACTTTTTTATTTATATTATGGAAAAATTAAAAGTGTAACTTTTTCCTATATATTACTTATAAGTATAAAAAATGTAAAAATACTAAATAAAAAATAACAACTTAAGCCAATAAAACACCAAACAGACATATAATTTTTTTTAAACTTTGATAACATAAAATACCTCATTTCCAGGCCGCAATAATCTCAAGGCGGCTTCACTGGCAAGATATGCAGCAAGAAGTACATCTGCGGCACGACCAGTGACTTCTTCAACTCCAACAACCACAGTATGGGCCACCACTGCAATGAAGCCATCAATATGGGCACCCAGATCTCTAAAACATAAAATCAATTGAATATTAAAGATTACTTTCAATAAGAATCGAAACTTTGATAATTTCAAAATGTTAGAGGTGAAATTTAAGTTACTTCATTTTGACAGTAATGTAGAAAACCTACAATCAATTTTAAAACAATGCTGACTATGAATGGGTTGACTTTGAAACTGGTTTTCAAGTTTATTATAAGGTAGCTGTTCCCCGCAACTTCACCCGCATGGAATCCTAATTATTTTTCTAATATAAAGTAGCCTAAGTTACTCCTTATAACATCAGCTATCTGCCAGTGAAAGTCCCGTAGAAATCAGTCAAGCTATTTCGAAGATTTCCCAGAACAAACAGACAGACAGGCAAAAATTTTATTTTTGTTATAAGTCACATATATACTTTCATATGCATTTAGTAAAAAGCTGTTATTTTGACATTATACACAGACACTTCAATTTTATTTATTTATATAGATTGATAGATGATTAAGTGGGGACAACATAAAAAGGTGGGGTTTGGCTAATTAAACTTAAAAATGTATTTATTCAGCAACTTAGGATTGCAACTGCTCAAGTGCTGTGGAAGTGAAGTCCCTCGGGCCTTGCTTTGCTTGAACCTTAAAATTAATTGTAGGTTTTGTAAAGCAGAGTCCTCGAAACATACTTGATGCAATAATAATTTAATTACTTCAATAAGATGTAAAGGTAAAAGTAACTCACATTTTCGCAAGATCACCTTGTTTCAAAATGTAATCAGTTTCACTTGGAATTGGGGAAAAATGACATATACAATTGTTCACAGATACACATGTTGAGAAAGCTATGCCTTTCTTGGAATCTTTCTCCTTTTTGAATACTTTAGATGTCTCTTCTAATATTAGCTTATCGCCAAATTCACAAATTTCTCTTGCAGAAGCACCGGGCACACATTTTGCAATCACTTGTTCTAGAACGCCTGGAAAGTAGACAAGTGATTTAAAAAAAATCGTGACTACATAAAACTTAGCTGTTGCCTTAGCCTTTTAACACAGTTTCAGCACCACACCACATTGTCCGCATGGCGATGACACGCGTCCATCAAACGCGGAACTGAAGAATACTATAAAACAAAAAGTAATTTGAAAATGTGGGAGACAGTACAATAATAATAGTAATAACAACTCACGGTTAACAATTTGACCCGCTAATTTATACTTGGTTACAACCAAGTCTTCTGCAATCGTTTTCTCAACTTCCTTGTCGTCAGCCATTTCTCTAGCTGTACTTTGGTTTGGCCATAGATTAAATCAAAGATAATATAATCACTACGTTTATGGATGGTGGTTGTTGTTGTTACGGTTCAAAAATTCACACAGGCAAAAGTCTTAGACCATACAGCCTAAACTGCTTTGTATATTCTTCACAAAATTTTCACAATTAGATGATACATAACATACCGAAGATCTTAGGAGATTTTGACGACAGCTTAAGCTTAACGCAGTGGACCGTTAATTTAGATAATATCTCCAGACCGCGAAATGAATAAAAACGACCCTGCGATTTATACCGCCATCGGAACTTGTAACATCGTTTCTAATAATATATTATAATAATATTTCACACTCGTTTACATTTAATACACCAAATCACACCACATTAACGTATCAAAATCCACTAGGAATCATTATTTAAGCGATAAAAAAACAGCTAATATCCGATGACAGCCAAGTTCCCGCCAAAAGTGTTTTTTATTAAATAGATCAAAGGATTTGCTTTAGTTACAACTAGCTGTTCCCCGCGACTTCACCCGCGTGTTATTTAAGGTTTTGATTTTTTTGCGTGGAACCCTAATTCTTTTTCTAAAATAAAAGTAGCCCAAGTTACTCCTTGTGATATCAGCTATCTGCCAGGGAAAGTCCCATAAAAATCGGTCCAGCCGTTTCGGAGATTAGCCGGAACAAACAGATACAGGCAAAAATTTAAAAAATATATTTTCGTTATTAGTACCGTATATACTTTCATATGCATTTACTAAAAAGCTGTAATTTTGACATTACAAACAGACACTTCAATTTTATTTATTTGTATAGATTCTGAAGATTTTTCGAAGGTTTGGGAAATTAGGAAAGAAATGCGCTTGATATCAAAATATAATATCACCCGACCTTATTACATCACATCATAGAGCAACACAGGAGGGAAGTAGCTATGGCGTTGTTTTCCGATAGGTACCAAACTGTCTGTCTTTTTTTGTGGGGGGAAATCTGCGCCACGCACCGTGCTTGCAAGTATAGGTAGATGTACGAAAAGAGATGCGTAAGCGTCATATTAGTCTGTGGAAAAGAGCTATTAACTACCCATTACACAATAAGTTTTGCTGTGAGTTTTACAACAATCACGGTTGTGATTGACGAATAATCTACCGTGTAATGCGGTGATTGACGGCTGCATAAAATTGATTGACAAATATCTGGATCTTTTTATTTTTACGTCAATCAAATATCACGTCACGAATTTTGATTGAACGTGTAATGGCATTTCGTCAATCACGCATCGATGCTCCTAGCTTTTCTTAGGAAGTTATAGCTTTTCGCATACATGTATCTTGTTGTTTTAGGTATGGTCTTACCAAGACCAGTAACTTATCAAAACAAGCCTCCTTCATGCGAAATTTATTTGCATAGTCTTTATCCTCTTTTGAAACCCGTATGTCAATAACTAATATGAGTATACAAATCCCTTTTTAAAAGCCAGTCTTTTGACCAGCACCTTCTTTTTATACGTTTTTTACACAAAATTGCAATCAAAATGCACACATTACAGGCCCTTTTTTATGAATATCCATCCCTTCCCTATGAAATTTTGGATGTGACTGATGGTCAGTCAGAATGAGCGTGTAATGTCGCAATTATTCCATCATTCAAACATCAATCATGATTGATCGAACTGATTGACGCTTGCATAGGCGTGTAATGGCTGCTTTACACTACAAAATATTATGTTTGAGAAATATTGACCCTTTTTACTGGAAACGAGGCATTCAATCTTAGCCCTCACGGGTGACAACGCATCTGCATTTTGATTCTCAATCGGAGATAGATGTAGATGTCTATGGGCCACAGCAACCACTTACCATCAGGTGGACTGTGTGCTCGTTTGTCACCCTTATCCTATAAAAAAAAATTCATTGATATTCCTATCTTGACAACAGAGTCATTGAATACTTTTCCAACTATCGCCAAGTCATTACTTAAACAGAATGTTAATAACTGTTTAAAAGAATTTAGGTTTGAAAAAGTATTACCGCATGATATTGTAAAATACTTCAAAACCATTGATGTAAAGAAAACCGCAGATTTGTGGGGGATTTCCGTTACAGTTATTGCGTCCATAATAGATTTAATTGCACCTCATCTTGCTGTTATTTTTTATACTTGTATTGATTCTGGTGTGTTTGCTGATTTAATGAAGTATAGTAAAGTAATACCTTTATTTTAATTTGGTAGTACATTGTACCCCGCTAATTATAGACCTATTCCTGCGCTACCAACTCTCAGTAAAATTTTTGAAAAAATAATTTTGGATCAATTGTTAATTTTTTTAATACAAATAAATTACTTCATAAACACTAATTTGGTTTTACAAGGGTTCGCTCGACGTCTGACGCCGGTGTTGAGCTTATATATAATATAAAAATGAATCGCTGAATGTGTTGCTAAGCGCAAATTTCGAGAGCAGCTGAACCGATTTCGTTAATTCTATTTTCATAATATTCCTTGAAGTACGAAGATGGTTCCTACGGAGAGAAAATTTAAAAAATTGCCTGAACAAGTATATAAACAACACTTTTCTATAGTCCCATACAAATGTTTCGTAATAATACTTAAAAGTCAATTTGAACTTTAATACCATACCATAAAGTTTAAGTTCCGGGAAGGCAAAACAATTATAATTTTTATTTTTTGTTGTTGTGAATTTAGTAGAATATTTACTTCTAAAACTTTCTCTTTTAACAGTCGCAAGTCATATAATGAATGGGCGACAGTAGGAATTTATAAAAGTAGGCGAAGGTTATACGAGCTTTATGATGAAAGATCATATAATAGTAGTGTTATATTTAGAGATTATGTAAAAACATATTCTAAAATATTTAAAAAAGTGTGCTCCACTGCTAAGGCTTTACATTTAAGCAACAAAATTAAAACTGCATCCGACAAAATTAAAATGACCTGGAGAATAATAAATAGTGAAACGGGCAAGGTCAAACCACGCAACTCGGATTTACAATTGAATATTAACAGTAATTTAACGCGATCTAATCAAGAAGTTGCTATGGCTTTTGAGAAACATTTTACTGATGTTCCTTTTTTGACAACAAAATCATTAAATTCTTATCCTACTGTCGCCGAATAATTGCTCAAATAAAATGTAAAGGCTTGTTCAAATACTTTTAAATTCCATAGAGTACTGCCAAAAGATATCGTTAAATATTTTAAAACTATTGATGTTAAGAAAACGGCAGACTTATGGGGGATTTCCGTTAAAGTTATTTTATCTATAATACATATATTAGCACGTTATCTAGCCACTATATTTAATATAAGCGTCGAATCTGGTGTGTATCCTGATTTACGCCCGAAATTAATAATGTATCTCGTATCCAAGATCGACCGCAGTCTTGGATTGCGGTGTATCGTTGGATTGGTCTTCAATCCGCGTGCCAATAACTCAACCCGGCAATCCCAATTTTTTTTCGACGACAGATTTCTAGCAATCCGTTCCCTCTTGACCGTTCCTTTTGATGTAAAATATCGATTGCATAAAACTTTATTAAGTGTCTTTTAAAACAAATCATTCACATAACTACTGAAAAAATGTTTCAAAATAATGTTTGTTGTTATAATATTATGCCTAAAAATTTACGGAAATTATAATTTCAGTCTAGTTTTGGTATTAAAACTATGACATTATTTAGTTGAAATGGAACGTGTGACGTAGACGTCTTGCATTTGAATTTGACAAGACATTTTGATTCCGTTGCGAGTGCGAGTTTAGTTATTTCCGTGTAGCAGACTTCAAAAATATTATCTTCTTGTTATATATAAATTAGAAATTATAATATAATGGATTCAGAAATCGTAAGTACATATTGTTTTATCTATTAAGGTTCTAAGTTGCGCGCGCTTTCATAATGACGCTTATCATTCCCGCCTTATTTGTAACGTTGTTGTTAATCATTGTAATTTTCTTTTACTAGGTAAAAGGTAAACCTCTTACAAAAGAAGAGTCAAAGTTTTTGCTTGACCTAATAGAAGGTAGTAAAATAATTACCACCAAAACCACTAACGCCACCAACAACAAACTTAAAACTGAAGAGTGGATTCGTTTGGCAGAGCGATTCAATGCCACAGCCACGAATTTTCCAAGAACACCACAGCAGTTGCGTTTGAAGTGGGAAAATTTAAAGAAGAACTCGCGCAAGCGCAGCACCAAAATAAGGATGAACCAAATTAAGGTTACATACTTTAACACATAATATATATTTTATCCATAGTCTATAACTTCCAATGGAATGTTCTAAAATAATGTTAAATCTAATATTCTTATTGCAGACTGGTGGTGGCCCTGCTGACTATATACCCCCAGATGACATATTAGACCGGGTGACCAGTCTATTAGGAAGTACAGTCAGTGGGTTTACTGTACCGTTTGGGGGTGACAAGGAAATAGCTTGGTTTAATGTTGGTGGTGGTGGTGATGGTGATGGTGAAGGTGGAACAAGTGATAGTGAAAACTTAGGAAATGTGATGGTGCAGACACCACAAATTTTACAGACTTTTACAGACTTAAATGAAACCACAATCTCAACACCATTATGTAATGAAAAAGGTATTGAGAATGTGGTTGCTGATTACCAAGTATTAGAGGTGGTTGACCAAAATTTGATCACTCCGAATAAAACCAAGAGGCTTACATTTAGTACACCTAGAGCAGGTAATGGTTGTTTTTACGATTTTGGATTTATGAATGATAAATGCTTATTTTGATTAGCCCTCACGTTTTGCCCTTCCTCACTCTCTACATTTATGTGATAAAATATTTATTAATTTAACCTTGTTGAAGATTATTTATGTAAGGCTTATTTAATTGCATCTGAGCAAGTCACAGGGAAATTAGACTATGTCAGGCATAATCACTTGCGGAAGATCTTTTATTTATGAGATAAATGATTTATGTTAATAGGTATGATCTCATCAAAGTATCTTAACCACCTTACTGATTTGGGCATAATTGCTTATTTTTCACACTGGTCTCCTAGCTGAGATGACAGGATTTTATGAACACTGACGTCTTTGATAAAGTTAAATTATAAACACAGCCCCATTATACATCTATGATATTATTATATGCTAAATTTTATGAAAACAGAAATGAGTGCACTTATATTGATCTCATATTTGCTTCATATTCCAGTGAAAAAGAAATTGAAGAAAGATGAGAACAGGACTGCGAGGAACTTAGCCATAGCAGAATATTATTCAGCCAAAAAACAATGCTTAGATGCCACATTAAATAATATTAATTTAGAAAATGATAACTTAAAATTAAAAAATTTGGAGCTTAATTTGAATAACGAAAAACTTAAGTTAGAAACTGAGAAATTAAAATTAGAATTAGAGAGGTTAAGAAAGCAGCAATAATGTTTAGTATAGTATAATAATTATAATACTTATTTAGTCTGTAGTTTAGTAGTAGTAAATTTGAATATATAAGTGTAATTGTATAATAAATTTAGGAAACTTGGCATCTAAGTAGGTATTGTTTCCTGGCTATGTATGGCCTTATTAACCCAACCATCAAAGAATTGTTCTTTATATTTTATATTTGTTTTACAGAAGAGGGCCATAAGAGCAATCAATGATTTAAAACCTATTCGCTTTGACAAAAATTTAAGGAAATTAATATATTAACTTTGGCCTCTCAATACATTTATGAAAATGTAATGTACATTCACACGTACATATACATGTATATGCTTTTATAACAAAATCCCAGAAAACATACAAACTTTGATTTGCTCAAAGTTCAAAAACTTTAAACTATGTTTGTATAAAAAGGGTTATTATAAGGAATTTATGGATGATAATAACCCCTGAGGTGATTGTGAGAATCTATTTTTTTTTTTTTAAAACGTTACCCCCACTCTAGGATTTTCTCCTGTATCGTGGAGGCAGTTTACAAACATATATCGCACAGGGACAAACATCCAGACCCGGAACAATTATTTGTAGGCCATACAAATACTTGTTCAGTGCGGGATTCGAACCCGCGGCTCCAAGCGTTGCAACTCATTGCTATGCCACGGAGCCGTCGAATGATTGTTTTGTGTTGTTAATTGTGTAACATATATGATTTTAAGCTGTTATTTTTTTAACTCCCGCTGGGTTTCTTGCTGGTTCTTCTCAGGACAGAGGTTTTTTCCGAACCAGTGGTAATTAAACATTTCAGTAAGTATTATTTATAATCTACATTTAATAAAAAAGTTTCTATTTCTACTGTCTAAATGATATAGTGGTAATGAATAATATTTTAACATTGAATTTAAATGAAATTGCTTAAAATAAAAAATTTTATCACCATCATATGATTGTTTATTTTTATACTATTATTTTGAATAAACTAATTTGACAGATTTTATTGTCTTTAATTTGTACTTGTTTTTAATTCCTAAACTTTCAATAACTTAAAACTATTGGTCCGACCTTAATCAAATTCATATGGGACCACATGAGAAGCACCAACTTTCAAATAAAAAAAGAATCATCGAATCGAATCATCAACTAAGAAAAAGTTTTGGGGTAACACATACAGTCGAATTGAGTACCTCCTCCTTTTAAAAAGTTTGTAGAAAATAATTTTATATGCATACAGTGAATATAATAGTAATTTGTATGTGGTAGAGCCATGCTGCAGTTATATTAATAGTATAGTTGTAGAACGAATGGGTCGGCTCGGCCAGGGAAGGACCACGCTCTCACAGAATACCAGCTTAACACTGCTGTTTCGTATGGTGACTGTAGGGAACTGGCGACCCTTTTTACTGAAAAGGGGCATTCCATCTTGGTCCTCACGGGTGACAACGCATCTGCATTTTGATTCTTTATTGAGGATAGATATGGGTGTCTGGGTCACAGTAACTGCTTACAATCAGGTGGATCGTGTGCTCGTTTGTCACCATATCATGAAAAAATCATTTTTTAAAAACGAATACCTACCGGCGTAAGTCAAACTTACTAATGACTATTTTCATTAATACTTCAACTGAGTTACTTATAGCAGATGTTTATTACAGTATTATTTGTTGACACCTATACTTTAATAATGCAAATGCATACAATTATAAGGTCTAAGTTATTTTTGACCAGCTTTTAGCAATATTTTTATTGATTTGTGTCAGTTTTTAGAATATTTGTGTTAATGCAATAATCATTAAAGTAAGTAAAATATTCTTATATTTATTTATTGCATTCCCTATTACAAAAGAATTAATGCCATTAGGCATTCTCTACTAGTCAACCCATAGTTCTATTTTCTGTGAAGTAATGTAGTGTTTTTATGAAGTAATTATAAAAATGTTATTATAAAAATAATTACTTTTCTATTATTAATCTTTTCAAATAAAAATATTAATTATGAAACAGGACAGGAATTGGATTTAGGTACTTGTTCTTTTTTTGTTTTATTTTTTCTTAAGATTAAAACTGATAATTGATTCACTGTTGAGAGCCTTCCCTCAAATTTGGAAATAAAGTTTAACTTAGGTTTAAAATTTGTATGTAATAAAGCAAACATTGATTTGAAAAGTATTTATTTATCTAAAAAAATTATTTACAAGTGCTGCTCTTTCACTGACATCTTGAACTTCCGAAAAGTACATATCTTCATTTATTTCCACTATTGGCAGCTCCACTTCTGAAGGAACTTCCTCTAAGTTGTGGTTCCTACAAATATTATGCAACACTGCGGTAGCAATTATTATTGCCTGAACCTTAGGCAATGATAAACGCAGTGTTAATGCCACAACAGGGAAGCGACGCTTCCAGACACCAAACGTTCTGAGAAAAAGATAAATGTATATTAGAATTGACCTTTTTAAATGGGTTACAGAACATTAAAAGCTCAATGACTACGAGTAGACTATCCTCATATGGACCACCTCATCCATAATATAAACTATTAAATAAAAAAGCATCATTAAAGTAATTTCTCAATTGATTAAGATATACGGGTGTATTCATAATCATTTTTAAACAGTTCATTAGTTAAAAAGTGTTTTGTCACTTTCTAGCAACAAGTATCTCGCAAATGTCAGAATGAGACAAAACACTTTTTAACTAATGAACTGTTTAAAAATGATTATGAATACACCCGATAATATATATATATATATATATATATATGACAATTTATAGTAGAATTGAGAACCTCCTGTTTCCTGCCAAAAATAAAATACCTAATATTTGTAAGATCTAAACAAAATAGCTACCTTTCAATAATATTCCTAGTCTTTATGTGTGCTTCATTATAGCGCTGTTCAGCTTCAGTAACAGGATTTATAAGAGGTGTTAGTAAATATGGCCTGTTTGGGTAAGCACTGTCACCAAGCATCCAACGGTTACCAAACAGACCTGCATCACATTGAGCTGTAAATAAAGATATTTAATTAAGTACATTTTGATAACATTAAAATATAACAAAAGCAAATAAAACTATTAAACCAGTCAGAAACCTCTGAGAATTGAGTTGTTAAATATTGTGGCATCATGTGTCGAGCCTGGCCAACGGGCAATCACATTCATGAATTTTAAATCAGCATCACAGATTGCCTGGACATTTAAGGAAAAGTAACCTTTACGATTCCTAAACTCTTCACCAATTACATGACCTAGAAGAAATCATAGTTAATGTATCTTTTTATATAGAATAAGTGTCAAACAAGTATGCAGTTCACCTGATGGTAAGAAAATGCTGTTGCCCACAGACCTACATCTGCTCTCCATTTAAAATTAAAATGTAGATGCATTGTCACGCCTGAGGACTAACACAAAATGCCTTGTTATCACATTTTATATACATAGCATATTTAACAATGGTATTCTGTTTCTGTGAGTGCAGTTCTTCCCCTTTTGAGCCAACCTTCCTAACACATGTCTAATATAGAAGAATAGTGTATGTTCTATTTATATATGATATTTATGAAGAGAAAATATACAATTTTAGTCTGTATAATATTAGGAAATACTCACATGGCGATTGGATTCGTATATGAGTGCAATCAATTGCAGCTAAAACTCTAGGAAATCCTGCAATATGGTAGAATTTTTCAGCACTTTGTTGGTGTATTACAACGTATTCATCATATAAGTTCGCAATTGCTGATGATATATCACGAACTATTCTCCCTGCTGTGGATATTGATACTCCAACAAAGTCCGCTACAGAAATTAACATCGTGCCTAACGCATAAAATCGTAATGTCAATAAAAGTTGATGAAGTGGCGAAACCCCATTGTTCCTGAAATTTTAAAACCATTAATTACTAAATAAAGTAAGGTTAAGTACTATCTTTTGAAAGTAAAATTTTTTTTTTAATGTAATGTTTTACATTATCTCGAAAATTATTTACCTTGTGGAGGTTACACGAATAAACGGCATCAATTTTATTAATAGCGAATTGAAAGCAGGTTTGGATAACCTAAACCTAAACATGAACTCGGCATCATCCAGACTCTGCATGTAGTTCAACCTTCTAATTTTTCGTGAAGAAGCGCGGTGTCTATCTTCAGATTCGCTATCAGTATCCCAATCGGATAATTGAGCCAGCACCTCCAAATCACTGTCATCACTATCACTGTAAAATATCGATATTTCCATTTTCTTATTTTAATAAAAATAACGCTGTGACGAAATCTCCGGTATTTCTTGGATTGCAATCCCGATCGTTTCCAGCGATCAAAACGAAATGTCAAAATCGACAGATAGGTTATTAACACGCGCAAACTGTCATTTTCGAACAGAGGCCAATCGTTTTTCTGTGATCCGCCCTCTGTAAGATAGATTGATTTTTAAGATAGCAAACTCAATGCATAGATTGTTTATTGGCACGCTTAACCCACAAAATAGATTAAAATATCAATCTTAGATAGCTAAAATTGGATCAGGATTGATTATTAATTTCGGGCGTTAATGAAACTGGTAGTACATTAGACCCCGCCAATTTCAGACCAATTTCTGTACTACCAACATTAAGTAAAATTTTTGAAAAACTTATTTTAAATCAGATGTAAGTTTCTTTAATATTAATAAATTGCTACATAAAAATCAATTCGGTTTTATAAGGGGTCGCTCGACAACTGACGCTGGAGTTGAGCTTATTAAAAATGTGCATGGGAGAATTCAGAGGAATTTTTTGTTTTCTTTGGGTATATTTTGTGACCTTTCCAAGGCCTTCGACTGTGTTCACCATGAGACATTAATCAGGAAGCTACAGTACTATGGTGTCAAGAAAACAGCGCTTAAACTTATTATTTCATATTTAAGTAATAGAAAACAGAAGGTTATTATCAATGGTAAAAGTTCTTCCGGGTCACCTGTACTAATGGGTGTTCCTCAGGGCTCGATTCTCGGCCCATTCCTGTTTCTGGTGTATATTAATGACTTACCTCACCTTGTAGGGGATAGTCATGATATTATTTGCTGATGATACTTCCTTGATTTTTAAACTTAAACGTCAATCATTTAAATGTGACGAAGTGAATAATGCTATATCAATATTAGTGCATTGGTTTAACGTTAATAATCTGCATTTGAACGGAAATAAAACTAATTGTCTTAAATTTACAACAACGAATGTTAAAAATCTGAATACCAATGTGTTTTTAAATGGGGAGGAATTGAGCCCTGTTGTATCCACTGTTTTTCTTGGCATCAATCTTGACGCAAAGCTCCAGTGAGGCCCCCATATATCCAAATTAGCAAGCAGACTAAGTTCTGCAGCCTATGCTGTAAAAAAGATTAGAGGTCTCACTAGTGTCGAGACAGCTAGATTAGTTTATTTTAGTTATTTCCATAGCATAATGTCTTATGGAATTTTGCTATGGGGAAATGCGGCTGATTCAGAAACTATTTTTGTTTTACAGAAGAGGGCCATTAGAGCTATTTACAATCTAAAACCGAGAGAGTCTCTTAGAGATAAATTTAAAGAAATTAATGTATTAACTTTGGCCTCTCAGTATATTTACGAAAATTTAATGTATGTTCACAAAAACAAAGATAGTTTTAGTAAAAAAAAGTGATATACATTCTGTAAACACTAGGAACAAACACAAGTTAGTGATGCCAGTTTCTCGACTCCACAGAGTCAGTAATTCATTCTTGGGGCAATGTATACGCTATTACAACAAGGTCCCGGAAAGTGTACAGGTTCTCTCTATTACCAAGTTTAAATGTTTTATTAAGCTGAAACTGTATAAAAAGGGTTATAATAGTATAAATGAATACATGGTTGATAATAACCCCTGAGAATGAGGTGGTCGCTTCCAAGCAGTTTCTAAAATAAATTTTGTAAATAGTTCGTAATCATTTATATTGTAAAATTTATTTAAAAAAAAGTCCCGCTGGGTTTCTTGCTGGTTCTTCCCAGGACAGAGGGTTTTTTTCGAACCAGTGGTAAAGTAAAAAATGACTTTCAATAAGAATTACACATGTATATTGAATAAAAAATATTCTATTCTATTCTATTCTACTTCATATTTAAGTAACAGAACTCAAAAAGTCGTGATCAATGGTAAAGGTTCTTCCAGATCGGTAGTATCAATGGGCATTCCTCAGGGCTCGATTCTTGGCCCATTCGTGTTCTTAATCTATATTAATGACTTACCTTATCTTGTAGGGGTCAATCACGATATAGTATTATTTGCCGACGATACCTCTTTGATTTTCAAACTCAAACGGCAGTCAATTAATTATGACGACGTAAATAATGCTCTGTCGAAATAGTACATTGGTTTAACGCCAACAGTTTGCTCTTAAACGGCAATGCATAATATATAATATATAATTTTAACAGAGCCACGCGGCAGCTTTTGCTGTCGCACGGATGGGCCGGCTCGAACCGGGGTGGTACCACGACCTTACAGAAAACCAGCGTGAAGTAGAAGTTTACCTCTGCGTTTCGCCTGGTGAGTGCAGGTGGCCGGAAGCCCTTTTTACTGGAAATGAGGCATTCCATCTTAGTCCTCACGGGTGACTACGCATCTACGTTTTGATTTGTAATAGAGGATAGATGTAGATGTCTATGGGCCGTAGCAACCACTTACCATCAGGTGGACTGTGTGCTCGTTTGTCACCCTTATCCAATAAAAAAAAATAAGACAAAATGTATTAAATTTACACTACCTAATGTAAAACATTCGAAAACCAATGTGCTTTTAAATGAGGACACCACTGTTTTTCTTGGTATTACTATTGACGCGAAACTTCAATGGAGCCCCATATATCTAAATTAGCAAGCAGACTTAGTTCTGCAGCAAATGCTGTAAGAAAGATTAGAAGTCTCAGCTAGATTAGTGTATTTTAGTTCATTTCATAGCGTAAAGTCTTATGGAATTTTGCTATAGTGTAATGCGACTGATATTGAAGCTATATTTGTTTTGCAAAAGAGAGACGTACGGGCGATTTATAACCTAAATTGTAATCAGTCCCTCGGTGAAAAATTTAAAGAATTACACATATTAACTTTGGCATCGCAACACATTTCTGAAAATGTAATGAATGTACATAAAAAACATAAATAGCTTTAATAAGAATAAGGATGTTCATACCTTAAACACTAGGAACAAACATATAAGCTTGTAATGCCAGTTACTAGACTCCACACGATCAGTCATTAATTTATGGGGCAATGTATACGCTTTTAAAACAAAATCCCAGAACGTGTCCAAAGTTTGTCAATAAACAAGTTATTATACCTAGTGAGGTCATAAATTCTGTCACATGCTTAATATAAAATAATTGAAACAAGTTTATACATTATGTAACCATTTATATACCAAATTAACTTAACAAAACATAGATTCTTATGACACTAAAGTTTATTCAAAATGACCTCCATGATTTTGAATACAGGCCTTCAATCTGCGCGGCCAGTCGTCTATCGCAGCACGAACGAGGTCCATGTCAATATCGGCGGCTGCCTTAATCAATGATGTCTCGAGTGACTCCAAATTGGGATGAGGCTTTGAGCACGCCTTTTCCTCCAAGTGTTGCCATATCTTGTAATCTAACGGATTCAAATCTGGACTGGAGGAGGGCCAGTCTTCGTGCCGGATGAAGTCGATTTCACGTGTCGCCAGCCAGTCTTGTGTGCTCTTCGCTCTATGAGCTGGCGCCAAATCTTGTTGGAATACCCAGTGCCTGTTATTGAACATGGTATGAGAAACAGGTTCCACAAGGTTCGTCAGGACTGTATTTTGATACACAACTGCATTCGTTTTTACACCTTTCTCACAAAAATGTACCTCTGTTAAGCCCTAATAAGAAATTTCCAACCATACCATGAGCGAGGATGGAAAATGACCTCATTGGACACGCGGAATACGATTGCTCGCTTCTTCACTACTGTGTGCGTACACCTTATCATTTTGTTTGTTGTAGCTCTCTTCTACGGTAAAAATTTTTTCATCCGAAAAAAGAATTTCCGGATATTTTTTTCCCGCGTACCGCTTCAACAAAGCGCAGCATCTCTTCAGTCTCAGGTCCATTAAACGAGCATTCAAACGATGTCCTGTTTTTCTTCGATATGCCCGAAGCCCTAAGTCTTCATTTAAGAACCTTTTCACCGTGGTTCTGCTTAACCCCATCTGAAGAAGGTTCTGGAAACTATCTGAGGCCCTATATAAGGGCGGTATAGACCACGACCGAATTTGAATTGGCGATACAAGTGAATACTTCGAAGAGAAATAATTGCCAACCAAAGTGACAATTGTGTTTTATAATTGTGTGGTTTTAGATTGTAATTAGTATTGTGTAGTTAAAGTATCAATTTTGGTAATTCAATCGGCAGTTTTCAATTGTCTCGAACCCCAAGCTCGTAACAATATTGTTAAGTGAAATATGTTTATAAAAAAGTCCCGCTGGGTTTCTTGCTGGTTCTTTCCAGGACGGAGGTATTTTCGGAACCAGTGGCAAATAAAAAATGACTTTCAATAAGTATTATGTAATAATCAATATTGAATAAAAATCATTCTATTCTATTCTATTCTATCATAAGAAGTAGGTATAATGCCACCAACTCATCTTTTACGGTAAATAAAATTGAAACTAAGGCCGCTATTTTGTAATTGACGTGAAAATCTTCGAAAATTGCTTCACAAAATAGAATTTCGTTATAAGAAAACAAAACCAAATAGAAAAGAAAAGTGTTGCGTGGACGTAACGACGTAGTTGCATGGAAGGCAACCTCCCTAAAAAAGTTAAAGAAAATCAGTGTGGTCAAAAAAGACCTATTATCTATTTAGACGACACATACATACACTCGTCTCACTGAACTGGTAAATTTTGCTAAATTTCTGAAGACGATGGTGATTTGGAACCAGTTTCGAAAGGTAATAGGTGGATCATAATCCATGCAGGAAGAGAAAACGGTTTTATGGAGAATGCCCTTCTCGTATTTAAATCAAAGACAAAAGAAGGGGACTACGATGATAAAATGAATAGCAATAATTTCAAAAAATGATTATATGAAAAATTACAAGGTACCTAATCTACAT